ATCATCCTCCGCGTAGCTCAGTTGGTTAGAGCGTCGCACTAGAGAAGCGAACGTCACGGGTTCAAATCCCGTCGTGGAGCACTTTCGCCCCATGACGACATATATGATTTGACCCGGCTCGTACAGTGAAAATCCCCGCACCGATTTCAAACCCTAACATTGGTATCGAAGCGACGGTTCGGAAACCGCCTCAGATGTAACGGCATAAGGCACACGATGTGACCTACGCTAAGATCGCGTATGCTCGGGCACGGTGATGTGACCTGCGCTACGATCGCGTATGCATGGGCACGATGTGACCCGCGCTGATGACGTGGATTCGGGCTGCATCCCAAGAACTGCGATGCACCTTCGGTGCGATGGGCTGCATCCCAAGAACTGCTACCCAGCTTCATCGCAGGCTGCCACGTCATCACATCTGAGGTCGGACCTCTGAAAAGTAACTCGACACGAATGTCGTGAGGTCACGACACTTTAAAGAGGGGAGATATGTCACGGATCGAAAGATGACAGACGCCCGCAGTCGCGATGTTGGTACGTCGTCGTCGATGTCACACGCATAGTCGATCATCGATCTGTAACAGTCCGATCTGTACGAGTACCACTGAAATGCGCGAGAGGATCATCATCCTCCGCGTAGCTCAGTTGGTTAGAGCGTTGCACTAGAGAAGCGAACGTCACGGGTTCAAATCCCGTCGTGGAGCATTTTCGCCCCATGACGATATATATGATTTGACCCGGCTCGTACAGTGAAAATCCCCGCACCGATTTCCAACCCTAACACCTGGGGTCCAGGCCGCCACGTTTGTTAGGGCTGAAGTGCGAGCCCACAATTATTATACAATATATCAATTAAACACTGTGCTGTTGAACGGCACACACAAGTGTAACAATCAAGCGGGTTGTGAGTTGCAGTCTCTGGATGAATAACTGCTGAAGCACAACGCTTCCTCACTTTGTACCATACGTCTCCCATCATCTTAGATGGTACCGCCATTGGGTTGTGAACCCGAGACGTAGGTTGAACGACCAGTATTGTAATAACGACTAGTTCGTTCATACTGTGCATGCGTGTTCCGCACATGCTTAAAAGCCAAGATGGTTCTTGTTTGTATTCAAGATGTATCTTTGCTTTGCCATCTTCGAGTTCGACGTACGAACTCTCGATGACAAGGATGCCAGATGATGTGACATTATCATCTGGCGACATGTACAGTCATCGTCGACCGTACTGACGACTGTCATAATAATATATGACGCGACTCGACATGTACAGTCATGGTCGACCGTACTGACGACTGTCATAATAATATATGACACGACATGACATGACATGGTATGACATGTCTGACAGGTATGACACGTATGACATGTATGACACACATGTCATCGGTCATGACCCTGACAGATCTCCCCTCTTAACCCTTAAACCGTTTCCTGGGTCATATATGACCCAAGGGTACCTGAAATTGATTTATGAAGCCGTCTAACATCCAAAAATGCTTTTGAAAACTGTTTTGAAAAGGTCTCCCTTATGCGCATTAAACTGCGTGCCCAATGCCCCTCAAAACTGTCGCACGCTTCCAAGCTCGAACGATGAAGAGTGTGAAAATCGTTTGACACAACACACGGTTATGGTTTGCGCGTATAAATACGCATGCTCAACCCTATTTAGGTCACGTTACATCTTCAACACATAGCTAGGCGTTATGCAAAACATGCTAGGGTCATGATTAGGGTTTACACGGGGCAGTGGATACGCATTCAGCGCCGCAATGCGTGAGATATACATTCATTGGTGACATCGCATTTTCACTCGATGCTCAATTTTGAACAATGCAGTACGATGCGCCTTTGAAATACGTTTCAAGTGGTATGCTCAAAACACAAATCGGCCTTCGTATGCGGCGGGTATATGGAAAACACTGACTTCAACCAAAACCAAAAATAGTTATGACGGTTTAGGGGTTAAAAGAGTTGTGACCTCACAACGGGCATACCTTTGTATATGTCTATGATGTCTTTGTTGTTGTCGCTTCTTGCTGGTACCAGTCTTCTTACACCGATTTGAGGCGTCCCTCATGGTGTTTTTAGGTTATTGGGGGGAACTGAGTCCACTTTAGTCCCTCACCTTAGGCATTTAGCCCTACAGTTCTTAGGATGTAGCCCCCATGAATTGCGTATCGTATTTCAGAGTGACGTTTCAAGGTATCTTCCGAGGTTTACGTTACGGATAGATATTTGCGCTTGCCGTCGACACCTTCGATGATCGACGATTTAACGAACGATTCTCGGCGATAATGCATCCACCTCTTCCTCCCTTCAGAGAGCTTACTCCCCCGAAGTTCACAGGAATACTATGGAGAGCCCCTTCCGAATATATCGAAATGGCTTCTTTTTAATGCAGCGGAGGAGGCCGGTAGGCTATTTAATTTAGAATATTTTTTCATAAGTTTAGAATACCCCATTTTATCGTTAATTTAGAATAAGTTTTCTTTATGTCATCCGGCTATGACCGGTGCATGCATCCATGACGTTGTACCTGTACCTGTTGAGCTATCCCCATGCCATGCGAAATATTACACTGAAGAGTTGTCTTGCCGTGATGTCCATATGTCCGAATGGAACCAAAAACCGTTCGATTAAAATCGAACGGTTTTTGGTTCCATTCGGAAAGATTCACGGCCGTGAATCTAAAAGTCACGGCCGTGATTAACGACTCTTTACGCATAATGACTTTTATTATTTGCCATCTTTGCCACAATAGACACTCACGGCGTGTTCTGCTTGAAAAAAAGTAAGTAACTTGAAGCCTTGAGCTTCAAGTTACTGAAAGATATGTATCTTGGCAGTATGTGTGCCAAGTTTCGTGCTCTAGGACGCACGGGAAGCCCTCGGCTGTTTGGCATCTTTGGGTTTGGGTGTCACGTTCGAACCCAAACCCAAAACATCTGCCTTAGAAATAGATTGCGCGTTTCGCGCAAAAGTAACTTGAAGCCTTGAGCTTCAAGTAACTCAAATATACGTATCTTGGCAGTATTCGTGCCAAGTTTCGTGCTCTAGGACGCACGGGAAGCCCTCGGCTGTTTGGCATCTTTGGGTTTGGGTGTCACGTTCGAACCCAAACCCAAAACATCTGCCTTAGAAATAGATTGCGCGTTTCGCGCACAAGTAACTTGAAGCCTTGAGCTTCTGGTAACTTAAATATATGTACCATGGTAGTATTCGTGCCAAGTTTCGTGCGTTAGGACGCACGGGAAGCCCTCGGCTGTTTGGCATCTTTGGGTTTGGGTGTCACCTTCGAACCCAAACCCAAAGGCAAAGGCATAGGACAGTTTCGTAGATTCTGTCCCGATGCCTTTGCAACCTCGCTTGCTAACTCATATTACAATGAATATTCAACATTCAAGCGTTGGATACCCCACGCCAACGGGAAGCGCTCGGCTGATTTGTTATTTGGGTATGCGCACCCAAATGACAAAAAACGCATCTTTGAAACTCGTTAGTTTCAAAGATGCGTGGCCGATGCCTTCGTGCTTATGTGTGTTAATCCATATGAAATATTCCATGGAATAAATGTGAATATCCCGCACAAACGGGAAGCGCTCGGCCGTTTTGTAAAATTAGGGTGCACCCAAAATACAAAACGCATCTTTGAAACTCGGAAGTTTCAAAGATGCTTGCCGGTCGCGTGCAGCGGTAAAAGGCAAGTCAAAGGGTTTAGAATCTAGAAGAAGTACAGGGGCCTTTTTTTCAAGCAGGACACGCCGTGAGTGTCTATTACAACGGCGCCCACCATTATCACAAGCGAGACAAACCTTCTTAAAGCTTTTTGGAGGCTTCCTCATGATGGCACCGGGAACGAGAGCGTTTGACCTGTGTGCACATTATTTGAACACGAGTCGTGAAAAGGACCACCGGTCATAGCCGGATGACATCAAGAAAACTTATTCTAAATTAACGATGAAACGGGTTATTCTAAGATTAAGAAAACTTATTCTATATTAATTATTTTTCCGAGGAGGCCCTGCTTACGAGATATCGGAGGGTCTTTATAAGTCCACTTTAAATCCTCACCCGCCTGCCAAACTCCCTTTTTTCGGTCCGGTACGCGCGCTTTGACGAACATCTATCGCGATGAGTGAGAATGGATTCGCCACGTACTAATGTGAAATTTGTTTAGTTATGTTTGTCAAGCACAACTCAGGATCACAACTCCGTCTACCTCAATCTCCGGTAGCTGCGGATGATTGGCCAAGAGTCCGATGACAAACCACGGCTGGCAAAGGTAGCATTAGCAGTTTTTCACAGATATTGGTACCCGCATACCCACCACTGCGGCTAAGGCTAATCACACCTCCAGGATTTGAAATAAACCAATCTAGCCACTGTAAAGCTGGTCGGCAGAGCCGAGTTCAGCAGACGGATCCCAAGGCAGGAAAACATCCGAAGTAAGTTGAGAAGAGACATCATAAATGTTGACACCACCAGACCCAAGTGGGTCAGGCGGATCCCAGAGTGGATTGGCAAAATCATCAGACTGGTAAGTAGCCGAGGTCGATTGAGAAAAGACCCGCGGCACATCCTTGTCGCGAACTTATGCACGAAGCGTCCACACAAAGCACAACTCTCTAGCCCTACTACTAGACAGTCTTACTTATTGTCAGTGCCTCTACAACACTAGCTCGGCTTTGCATATGTTTCCTTATATGACTGCACAGTTAGCTTGCTACTGTAACTATACAAAATCTCAAAATTTTTGATATCTCTTTATCTCTCCTCACAACTTATGCAAGCTCTTTTTCTCAACATCCCCCACACTGAAAAAGACTGTTAATCACAGTTCTGACGCTATCGCACAAGGACAAGTCCACAAATGTATGTCTTTACAAGCAGAAGAATACTGTATCTTATAAATTATCTCATAACACTGCTGTTTTCGCGGTCTTAAGCGAGTCCTGGCTATTTTCGGAATCACTGTTACGAAGGCAAAACAAAAATGAGCGTCTGGCTCACCCTGCTACGCCGCCCTACTTATCCTCGCTATCTCCAAACAAGTGTAACACCCATCCGTACTTCCGTATCTCGTCACTGTCATAACTCCCCGCGTGTATCGTACTGCGCGTGTCATACGTTCGTCACAGAGACTGCTACAGCAAGTGTCACAACCCGGCTGAGGTACACGATAAGCCGTGGTTTGTGACAGCTGTCGCGAACTTATGCACGAAGCGTCCACACAAAGCACAACTCTCTAGCCCTACTACTAGACAGTCTTACTTATTGTCAGTGCCTCTACAACACTAGCTCGGCTTTGCATATGTTTCCTTATATGACTGCACAGTTAGCTTGCTACTGTAACTATACAAAATCTCAAATTTTTTGATATCTCTTTATCTCTCCTCACAACTTATGCAAGCTCTTTTTCTCAACATCCCCCATCTGTAGCTGCCACTGGTAGCACAGACATTAGACAAGAGCTTGCTCAGCATCTTCTGTCGTAACGCCATCCATTGCGAACTTGCCCATGCTGAAGGTAAACATACCCACTCCAGAAGCTTCTCCTCCTCGTAACATCCTGGCTCTTGTCAAAGGGTTGCGAAACACCATGACCCACATGCATCTTCTGCCAATAGGTCCATGCTCCAAATGCCCAATCACATGTAAACGTCCAGCGTGACACAGCTTACGAAAGTATTGTGCCCTG